ATGGGCTGGCTGGGGAATTCTGGGCGTTGAAGTCCAGAGCTCTTAAGGGTGCCAAGGTTGAGAATCACTTATTGTTCAGAGAGAGCTATTCTCCATTTTTATAATCATGAAACCGATTTGCCAACCATCTTGGATTTCAACCTTCGCCACTGCAGAAGCTGGGAAGCAGCTGAACCTAAACTCAAACCTCCATTTTCTCTTTTTCCCCCAGAACTGTTATTTTAAAGCCTCGTTGAAACTGAACAGGGCGGTGGAAGGCGGGGGAATAAATCTGCAACCCGATCAAACCTGAAATAATTCCTCCCTTACAACAATCCTCCCCACCATCCCCGGGCCCATAAAATTAAATCAGAAACCGGGAGATCTGTTTGCAAATCTCCCGCAAGCGGCGGGGCGATGTCGCCCCAGCCCCTTCGGCAAGCAGAAGGCTGCGAGGGGAAGACTGCTTCAAAGCCACCCTCCTGGACAACGTCCAGCAGAAGATGTATTTCTGCAGACCGAACCCAGCGGGGACCATCGCTTCCCGCAAAGTCTTTTCAGCTCTGATGGCAGCCAGGCACAAACCGAGAGGAACAAACGGCTGCGAGGTTTTGAATGGTGCACATCAATATCCTGCAATTGAGACACACACACACACACACAGAGCAGGAATTAGCTGGGGGCTGGCAGACAACTGGCCACTTGTTCCTTCAGCATGGCTGGAAGCCGTGTCGGTGCCCCATGAAGGAATTCTCTGTTTGGACTCCCTCTATCCCTCAATTGTCCGGGAAAAGTGCATTCAGGGTGACTCAGCCTGGCACCACCAGCACCCCGAGGCAGGGCAACGCCAACAAGAGGGGGAGGGGCTGCTCCAGAGCCCCTACGGGTGCTCCAAGCAGCTGGGGGGGGCAAGGCTGAGCAACGTGATCCCCGTTTAATAACGTTAATAGTTATTACATTTATAAGGCCGCCCGATCAAAAAGGCTCTAGGCGGTGGGCAAAGCGAAAACTTTGGTACTGAAGTATCAACCCACTGGGGAAAGGCACGAGCCAGAGAATGCCAACTGCCTGTCGCCAATCGAGCGGGACTGCAGATCGCCTCGGCCCTCTCTGGAAAGGCAAGGGTTGGGAGCTCGGTGTAAAGGACGGCCGGGGGGGGGCACTGCGGGGGCACCAAAGGGAGCCTGGGAGGCAGGGAATTCCAGAGACCAGGAATGGTGGCCTGCCGTTAGCTATGTGATGTTAGATGACTGGTGGGGGGGGTAAAAGCTGAACTGATCCTGAGTGGCAGTGGGGGAAGAACCTGGCAGGGCCCAGCGGGCCAGGAAACCAGAGGGTTTTGATTCACCGCCCACATCTCAAAGGCAGTGCGGCTGGCATCCTGGCTTAGTAGGAAAGGATGAATAATAAGAAGGTCGCACGGAGGGGTTTCTCTAAAACGTTCCAGTGCCACAGGGAATGCCCACCGTCCCTGCCTTTTTCTTTGTTTCGCCTTTTCCTTTCTTTGCCTCGCAACACGGAGGGCCGGAGGTACATGAGCCCGGTTCTGCTGTCACTCGTGGCCGCTCAGGCACGTAGCAGAGCTTGGCTGGGGGACCAGTCTAGACTGCGTTACTGTTGGCACGCATGCCGATAAAAATTGCGTTGTGTCTTCAGGGGGATTTGGCTGCTTTAGGCGAGCCAGGTCTGGCCACAGCCCTGGATTCAGGGAGGCAGAATTCTGGTCTGGGGAGGAAACCGTTAAGGAATTCAAAAGTTTTCCAAAGAGGCGGGGTAAAGCTAGATGACCTCTGAGAGCCCACCGAACTCTCGGCTGGGGTCACGCCTTGTGCTCCGGCATCCTGGGGTCAGGGGCACCTGGAATGGCGGGGAGGGGGAATGTCAAAAGTTTAAAAACGTTGAGGTGCAAACTGCGCCCTTTTGTGTTGCGTGCAAGAAGGCAAGGGGCCCTGGGACCACGATCTCATGACACACGTTCCATCCTTTTACAGTTTGCGCTGCAAAAATGCCGGCTGGGGAATTCTGGGAGCTGAAGTCCACCCATCTTCAAGTTGCTGAGGTTGAGAAACACCGATCTCACTAAGCCTAAAGGGGCCATCAGCACAGGTGCCACCATGCAAATACCACCACCTACGTCCTGGCGCCAGACGTCAGGGCACGAGTACGTCATCGCGGCATCTTTGCAAGGACGTCACCGCGTGTTGGGCCAGGGCTGGGGTTCTCGCTATAACTTTGGGATTCCTTCGCATTGATCGCTTTCCAGAGAAAAGAGTTGTGCCCCCAGGAACGCCTCCCAGCATGACAAACTCTTCATTATCTGGGGTTAAATTCAAAAGTTACCAAAAAAGCAAGGTGAAAATCCAACTAAAATGGGACGCTGGGTTGATGCAGAAGGTTCACCCAAAACTGATCCATTGTCTCACTGACGCTAATGTACCAATAGCTATGTGTCCTTCCCATGTCACCCCTTGCCACAAAAAAGTCCAGTTTTTCTCTAGAAACCTGCCCCATTCTCACAATTGTTCAAACATCTGGATGCTTTGCAACGCTGCCTTAAACCCCTGCTAGGCACTTTTCCCGAAAAGCTGTTTTACAAGGCCATCCATCTTGGTCACAACATTTCCCGCCTGCAATTTGCGCGTTCGTTCCCGCCTCTCTCCCCAACCCAGCCACCCTCTTTAAAGGAAGCCCAGAAACTCTCCGACATCTGGCCAACTTCCAAGAAGCTTCTACAGTTCATGAACTCAGACACGCATTTAATCTCCTGATGATCTTCTAAAAGCTCATTTTGGGTGTTTACAGGAGACGGATGGATAAGAGTAAGATGAGGCCTCTCTATGCTCAGAGCGGTTGGGGGGGGGGACACAATTTTTTTATTAATTGCGTGGAGGAGTTCAAGAGAAACTCAGATTGGTTAGCCAACCTCGTGGCCTTTTCCAGCTCAAGTGGCCCAAACGGAGCAGGGCATCAATGAAAATAAAGGCATTTCCGTCTAACCCAATTGCACTTCATTCTGCATTAGCAAGACTTTGACAATGGCACGTACCAATTGTCCCAAAACTCCCAGGAAGGCTTTTGTTAGCCTTCTCCAACACGGTGCCCTCCAGATGTATTGGGACCACCATTCTCATCATCCCTAAACCAACCCTGCAGTGCAATATGGGCCCCAGTGGCCATAGCAAGACTGGAATGTGAAAAAAAGAACACAGCAAACAGTTTAAAATGGCTTTGCTCAGACGATTGGCTGGCATTTTGAGATATTTTATGCTTAGCTTGTAACCGTATGCGCCTGAGCATATGACGGTATGAATTTGAGGGCCAACTGCAGGGGGCTTAAAGACAAAACAGTGGAAGAGCCATTGAGCTCAGCGTTGCTCTCCAACCAGTTCTCGCAGCCTTGAGGACTAGAAACTTACTTTAAGGACAGAGGATGGGCTTTCGTTCTGGTGTTTGTGAAAAAGAGCAAGCCGACACCCATAAGCCTACTCACCGCGGCATTCGCGGCCCGTCCTGACGTCTCTGCAGTTGGATCTGATGTTGATCCTCCCGTCCATTTCACGGCCAGTATCATCGTGGTAATAGACGAGACTGCCGTCCGCCCACAGCACGAACCAGTTCCTTTTCCAGCGTCGCAGGATGGAGCCTGCACAGGCCGGGAAAAAAAAATATGGGAGCGGAGAAATAGCGCAACGCCTTGTGGTTTTCCAGCCAGCAAAAGGTCCCTGGGTGTTTCTTTACAGAGTCCTAGACCTGCTAAAAAAATGAAGTTCTCACCTCGCAACCCAAAGATTCTTAAATTTCCACCAGGGAGATAATCCTCCAAAAACATCACCTGCATGAGCTACCTCAAAAATAAAATTAGTTGTTCGTCAGAAGGCCAGTGGTTTTCTTTTTTTTCCCTTTTATTGTGATGTATTTAGAATATGTGTGTGTGTGTGTGTGTGTATATATATATAAAATAAAAGAATAATATAAATTGCACAAAGGTTAGAAAAATGAGGTACAAGTTGTGAAATACAGGTGGACAAACAACAAACTGGAAATACCATAAAAGTAACATAATCCAGCTTACCACTGAAAATTTATGACACTGTAAGATATTTCAGGAGTCTTCTGAAGTGGGTGGCCATTATAAATTTGATTCACTAAATAAATATTTCACATTCATTTTCTTGACAAAACCCAGATGTCCCTTTTAAACATTAAGCTAGAAATACTTGGTTATAGTTGAAGTCACGGAAGGAAGGAAGGAAGGAAGGAAGGAAGGAAGGAAGGAAGGAAGGAAGGAAGGA